CTCCTCGCTGAGGGCGAGGGCTGTGGCGGCGAGGAGCCTGCGGCTGGCCGGCCGGGCCTGGCCGCTGCAGCGCTGGTACCGCACGGAGCGGGGAGTGTACGGCTACAAGCCTCGCAAGGCGGAGAGCGGGGAGGCCTCGGAGGCGGAGAGCGGGGAGGCCTCGGAGCCGAGCAGGGTCTGCGCGGGCGGCAGAGCAGGTGGGCTGGTCCCCCTGCCCCAGCGCGTGGGGTGCGTCTGTCTGTCCGTCCCTGTTGGGTGTGGGTGTCCGTTCATCCATCCGGGGAGGGGGAGACTGTTCTAACGGGCAGGCGGCCAATCGGCTCCCCCGCCTGTCGGAATTGATTTACACCCTCGTCCGCCCTTGTAGTTCGGGGAGGGGTTGTCTGTCAGCCCCTGTGGTGGGAGCAGGTCTCCTTCTCCACGTGTGTGTGGTTTCCTTGCGGGGGGGCAGGGTCCGCCTTCACCCACACCTGAGGAGCTGTCGCTTAGGAACTGTTTGGGGCGCTGCTATAGAGCGAAGAAGGGGGGGGCGATCGTGTGACCCGTGATTGTGGCCTGGGTCTGTACACCTGTTAGCTTTGGCTTGGCTAGTAGGGGGAGCAGCTGCGGTGTAGGCGTGGGGATAGGGCTAGCAACCTGAGTACACAGACCCACGTGTTCTGGAGGTTTCTAGTGTGGAGGCCCATTTGAAGTGAGTAAAAACGTGTTTAAAAGCGACGAGTGTAGAGTCCTGCTACTTATCCAGGGCCAGAGTCTTTCCCCCTCGGAAGGAAAACATGCTAAGAGTGGGGGAAGGTGTCTAGAATTGTGGAGGCAGCTGGAAAAGGCCTGGGCAGCTCCCTGCAGCTGGAGCCCATCTCCACAGCAGGGAGAATCTCCAGCAGCTGGGGGAGGAGGAGGAGCATGATAGGAAAAGGCTTCGTTTCTATGCTCCTAGAGTTGCCAACCTCCAGGGATTGTTCTGGAGTACCAGGAATTAAAGATTAATCTTTAATTAAATGTTGTCATGTGAGGAAATCTCCAGGAATGCATCCAACAGAAATTGGCAACCCTCCTTGCTGTTGGAACCTGTTCATGATGTGACAAGTAAAGGATGTTAGGGTGTAAACGACTAACGGTTTAACCAATGAGTGGATGTGATTGTGTGCAAAATCCATATCTGCAAAAATGAGCTGTGGATATCTGTATTCATATCCACAGATGAGGATACCCACATATATAATACAGATATCTACAGATTTTCAGGGTTCTTCGTGTATGTAGAGCACGAATAATCCATTGCTATCTGTTTTTACATTGTTTGACCATGATTATTTTTTCTACAGGTGGCAGGGGACATTCACAACCTTTCTGAGAACCTGAATTTTCCAAAGTCTAGAGAAAATGGGCTGCCCAATCAATGGCTTTGACAAATTTTGGCTGCAGGCAGTCATGAATCATTTGCTGGCTTGATTTAGTTAACTTGACTGTCTTCTGAGATCCTTGCAGGGATCTGTACCCTCAAGCCTTTCCCTCAAAGGAAAGCATAAGGTAGTGGCTCTTCCAGTGTTTACTGGATCACAGGAGAGTATTCTATGATTTTCTTTATAAAGTGCTTTTGGTAGCAGCCAAAAGCTACCAAGCAGCCAAAAGCTACCAACATTTAAAAAGGGGAAAGACTTGCACATGTTGACTAGTCACTAAAGAAAGGTAGTCAAAGGATAAATGTAATTTGGCTATTTAGAAGAACGTTTTCCGAGTATAAAGAGGATATGGAAAAAAGCCCGCCTTCTTCAGTAAGTTAGCTTGACAGTCATTAGTGTTACTCAGGGCAAAGTTAGATGGAATTCTAGGGGCATTTTCTATTTGTTCCTCTTGATAGATTCTGATGATTTTGGGGGATCCTGTTAAGCACCTCATTTAATGGTATGAATATCTCTTGCTGACAATCTAGATGCAAGAAGTTATGGGAAGCTAATTAAAAATACCAAGATTAATCTAGCAGGCCACATATGACATTACTTGAGACTCTTGAAGAAGATGGGTGGCTGTTATTCTCATGGTACAACTGAGGAAACTGAGTGATTTGTTCAGTGTAGATAGAGGGAGAAATAAATCATATCTCTCAAGTCCTAAATCTCTGTCCAATGAATAAGCTTCCTTCCTCATATTGAGCAAAGGAAAGTTAATGTGTTTTCTCTACTGCTTCTTTAAATAAAATTAAATTTATTTTCTTTGAAAAATTAGAGCAGGGAAAATGACATGTTCTAACCAGAAAATACTATTCAGTCTAAGTGAAAGCAACCTGTTGGGGCACATGCAGTTGAAAGAAGCACAACAACACAGTGACTAAAATTGAGCTTGTTTGGCAAGAAAATTTCTTTGAGATTGATGAACAGTCTTAAACATAAATAGAACTGCGTTGGTAACAAAAGACTTTGGTCTCAAATACTGTTTGTGCAGCATCTTTTTGTGGACAAAAACTTGCATTAGAATAAAATATAGAGTGACCAATTTTGATAAACTTGCAATAGACCCTTTTTGTTTTAGTGGTTAAAAGTTGACACATCAGGTTTCTGATGTTATCTTGCATTTAGCAATACTGTTTATTTGATTTGAGGGTCAATTTCATTTTTCAGACAGACTGCTAATGTGACACTTTCTATTCTAAAAACAAACTAATTTGTAGACACAGCAATATGTGCTATTGGATGTCATTTTATATATTAATTTATTTACTTATTTTTTCACTTTACATGATCTGGATGAATAATTCTAACTTCAGTTTGAAGTTTGAATTTTCTGTTTTCATGTTTCTCTGCCCTGGGCTTCTCAGAATCAGCTGCTGGTCAGTTTCAGCAGCAGCTGACTTGGGGATGCCTGGGGCAGAACAGCCATCCCTCGGTGCTGTGGGACCAACACGGCAGCACCCCAGCTGCTCTGCCCCTGACAGCTG